GTATAACGGTAAGAAGAAGTACGGTAAGACAAACCGGGCTGGAAATACCTGCATTACAATTTACATTATAAAAGTAATACAACTTCTAAGATATGAAATAAAAATGTGTAACGTGTAAATTTAGGAAATGTAAAATGTGACATACAGAATACAATCTGGTAAAGTAATTAAAACCTAGGGACACTTTTATATTGGCCTATTAACAATGTTCTTGTATTATTTGTACTTGTTTTGGGACAAGGGTTCTACTCTTGTCTGTCTTGATAATGATTTTTTGAAAGCATTTTTACAACTTTGTGAAGCAAAAGAAATGAATAAAGAAAGAAATTCTTTGAAAAAAAAACGCTCTATACTTATAACTGCAAGTATGAGTTTCATTATAGGCTTATGAGAACAGAATGACATGTGGATATAGTTACCTACTATGAAATTATAACCATAATTATCAATATATCAATTCCTTTGGTTTCAATGTACAATGACGCTCTAATTATTTTAACTGCAAATAAGAGACATTTTTGTTATATCACGTTAAATACAAGAATTAATAAAAAGGTGACTAACGGACACCAATCATGTTATTACGTAAATCCATTCTGCCATGAAGAATTTCACAATGTAACAAATGGCAGAATGGACACATTAAATTACGAAGCAAAGTAATAAAAAATGGACTTGTATTAATGTTCAGGGGAAAGTGATGGCCATCCGCACAAGTTGAAATTCTATAACTCGCCCTGATTTTAACGCGTAAGCACTACAGTAATGATTTACGATATTTATTTGCTCAGTAAAGTTTCGGGATTATTCGGGATTACTCGGGCTTTGGTTGATTTACAACTTGGAAATAATACTCTGAGTTCTGCTTTTAAGAACATAAACTTTATAGTTAAGTATCAACTGTTCAAATATGTATATCTGGTATCGAATCATTCGAATACTTACTTGCTATATACCTTTAAAGTAGCCATGCACTGACGTCATTATGTAATTTCCAAATCGTTCATCCTTCTATGGCTAAAACTGTAATCATCCTGAGGTCTTCAATGCATCACCTGGCCATTTTTAGCCTGTCAAGTGACTTATATGATTGTGTGCGATCGGAGGTGGCCTCTATATTTGCAAGCGTTTAGATACGATTCTGATTGCAAAATGAGCATATATGTACATACATAGCAGTAGAAATAGATAAATAAATAATAATAATACCAATGCTCGAATAGGAACATGTTGTATACAATATACAGTACATCACACCCATACATACAACAATAACATGGAATTACATTATTTTTGAAGCTTGGTGACAAATCCTCAAACTTCTATGACCTTCCTGCTGGTATTATTATTATTATTATTATTCATATTATCATTATTATTAATATTCATGTTACTGCTGCTATTGAATTGTTGCTATTGTTGTTTCTAAATCTGTTGATGCACTGAATAAATTGCCTGTCTGGAAACAGAAGAAATTATTATTTATTATCAAGACCACCGAGGTTTGGAAAATATCATGGTTGAAGAACCGTACCTTCATAAAGTTAGGTTGTTGTGATAGATTGCTTTAGGCCTATGATTCTCCGACCTTCAACCAATTTTGGAGAATTTCCGTAACTGTATTGGTTCTAGGCAAGTTTGTGTATTTTGTGTTTTCCTTAGGTAAAATTAAATTATAAATTGGAAAATACGTTTATCGACATTTATAATTCATGTTTCATGAGAATAGTGTCTAATTTGTCTGCTATGATGATCGACTCAGTCTGTAATCCTGATTTTGTAGAGGGCGGTTTGTGCATTTTTCCCATCGTGACGAGTAATTTAACAGCGTTGTTAACGGCTATTGATTTATATTATATGCTATTACAGTATTTGTTTTTCCAGTCTTACCTATTGTGCAGTGGACTGTATCTGGAATTTTATTACACAATTTATTTATTTATTTATAGGACAACATTCGTTGAGAGCTACGGTTGTCTCTTATACACATCTAGATGTGTATAAGAGACAGGTATAAGAGACAGCGATCAAGCGATCGGACGGGTTAAGAGTTTTTTTTAAAATTAATTTATTAAATCAAAAATACCAGCTGCAGTGACACGGCGGAATTGCTTGTGATGTACAATATTTATAATGTATCTTTAAAATATATAATTAAAAAGAACAATTCGATTATATAATACACACGAAGTTTTATAAGAATAACGTCTAAAATAATAAAGTAACTGCCAATCACATTTGAATAAATAACAGCTAAAATACTTTAAAAATTAAAAATTTACAGAAGTTACAAAAAAACAATACAAGATATAAGAATCACATATTTTTTTTTAAAACAACAGCAAAGATTAGGAAGAGGCATTGCTAGACGGCCCTATCATCGGTAGACCTATTGAAAAGTTAGACTGCAATACTCTTATCCCCTCTCCCTCTTTTGGCTCCAGCGCATTACACGGGTTAACGATACATTAAGCCTATTGCACACTCTTACTACTCAGTGTTGACTGTATCAGTTGGGAATGTAATAAAAATCTAAACAGTCATCAAATTACTGATCCGATTGTGTGTGTTAGAAATATAGAGTAGGCCTAACAATTTAATTATATTTAAATTTAATTAAAAGTAAAAAGTTATTTAAAATTAAGCGTCTGGAAAAATTAAACATCTGCTCCACAGACAGGAGAATTTGGTAGGCTTTCAAAGCTTTACACAAAATAGAAAATCTGTTAACTATACATTATTATTCTTCAAACTGGAAATTTACTCAAATTTCCTCCGGAAAAAGAAGGAAAACAAAAAAGAAACAATAAGTTCATACGGAATTGAAACAAAAGAAAATTCATTAAACATGAACCCGGACCCAAATATTAGAACGATAACATGCTTAAAAACACAATCTTAAGTTGTTGCTTTTATTCATTCACAATATAAATTATGACCTGTTACACCTTACATAGGCCTAGCCACATTAAAAATTTAACGGAATAGTAATTGAATCAAGAGACACGTATCATTACATCTTTACCAACTATGCAACTCGATCAGAGTGTTCCCACGCCTCTTGAATAGAACGGGAACCATCAGCGACTAGCGCCTTCTATCGCCGCGGAGAAGTTGCACTGTTAATTTCCGTTAGCCTTCTTTAACGAGTCGTTACATATACATGGCTCAATGATCGAGGGTTGTATGCAGCGCGGCGCTATACGATCTTTGATTTGTGTGTGTCTCCACCGTAGGTCGGTCGGTGGTGATGGATGGTTGGTTTAGTGTTTTTTGATGGTAAACATACAAAATGGCGGTGAACTTGCCGTCTGAATTTAGAAAGTTTGCGAAGTTAACTGAACAATTACATAAGATTTTATGCAATTCGAAATATTCTTTAGCTGAACTTGAAAGTGAAAGTAATGATCATTTTACTGAAGGTATGTCTAACGCGTTTTAAAGCTAGGCTATGGAATTGCATTGGCCTTCGTCTTCGGCCTAGCCTAGGCCAGGGCCTAGACCCGGGCCTAGACCCTGGTTAGGCTAGACTACTACTAGGTCTCTGTATTTGATGTTGAGTAATTTTTGCTGATGTGTTGGGTGGTGGTGGAATGCCAAGGCTAGCGTTATAAACAACAACAATGACGCAACAGTGAATGGGCTAAGTCTAAGACTTTAAATTGTTTATTATTAAAAAGTATAAGCCTTTTTTGTCAGTTGAATGAATATGATGATGAATGTTGTTATGATTATTATGATTTTTTTGAATATTAAATTGTTATTAATGTGTGTGTTAATAATTTTGTTATTGTGATTTTGTATCATGGTTAACTCAGCCCATGAATTTTTTTAAAATGTAACCTTAATATGGAGCGTTTAGTGGATCCATTCCTAATCCTATTTCCAAATTTTGGTAAAGGATATACTTAAGTTGCAACAGATGATGAGATGATAAGTTTACATCAAACTGAATTGCACATCCATGCACCTGCAGTTTTTCATTCTACCTTGTGCAGTTGTGGGGAAAGTGTAAAAGTTCCATTGCATTAAATAGTAGGCCAATGGTACAGAGAGTGGTATGATAGGTCTACACTGGTTGTGCTAATTAAAAAAAAACTAGCCTCTCTTTCCTTGTTGGCTGTTGTGCCTTCTTGTAACCATCACCCCTAACTAACCATCGTCTTGTAGTACCCCGGTCACCTAAATGTAGAAAATAACACCATGCAGGTATTTTTATAGCTCTGAGTATGCCTATATACACATGCACAAATCAAATTAAATTTTTCATGTGATGTAATTTTCCTTTTAGACAATAAAGTTATCTTGTATCAAGGTATCTTGTAAATCAGTTTAAGGAAACTCTATAAGATAACAAAAATGTTAGGGCTGAGGTAAATTTAGGTATTTAGGGCACATTGAAAATTGAGTACCATTAAAAATTAATGTTAAATTAAATTATTTTATTTTCCTGATACTTTTTTTTTTTCATTCAGTTTTAGTCACTAGGGACAAGGATATGCCAAACCGTGAGCATTATCACTCTTCAAAATGGCAATCCCAACTAAGACTAAGACTCATTATGAGGCTTAGGGCGAAAAAATTGAACTCGGGACCATGGGATTGGAAAGCAGGCTCTTAACCACCAAGCTATTCAACTCTGCTCACTATTGTCATTAATTTACAGATCAATTGTCAGCTCTTCGTCTGTCTGTTGAAGATGAGCATGCAGTCCACGACATCATTCACAAACATCCATGTATCATCGTCTTAGGGCAGACATGTGCTTCAAAGGCAGCCATTGTGAACACTCTGTTTGACAAAAAAATTCTACCACTTGTTGAGGACCAACCGGACTATAGTTGGCGGATGATACGATTTAAATATGGTAAACAAACCTCTCTTAGTCTGACACTACCAAACAGCTTTGAGGTGCTAAATGATCAGGAAGCATTTGGCACAGAATGGACGGTTATACCAAAAGAAGAAGTTGAACTTAGGGGTGACCTTCGACATGACCCCTACGTAGCAAGTGCAATTGTTGATATACAACTAAATAGTTCTCTTATTATCGGAGGTAACCAAGTTATTGTTGCCCCACATTCATTACCAAATATGGATATAACGCAAGTATATGAGAAATGTCAAGATAGTGTTTTGCCGATTGTTCTTTATGGAATCAGCGATGAATTGTTACCGTACTCGGACTTAAGTGACCTGCTTGACCTTCGATCGTGTCTGCATGATCTTCCTGTATTGTTTATTAAAACAAAGAATTCTAATGCAAAATTGAATGGTGCGCTACCAAAAAGTACTGTCACGGATGCTATTAATCAAGGGGCACGCTTAAACCAAAACCAGGTTTCAACACCACCACAAACAGAACCACCTCAACGTCAGACAAGTAAAGCTAGTAGGGTCTATTACCCCAAAGCAATTCGATCACCGATTTTCAAGCAGAAAGAAAGAAAAGCACAAACTAGCCCTCGTATTAACGCACCATCTCAAAATGGACTTGGTCTTTCGCAACAGCTTCACAACATAGGATTTCTAAGGACGACTTCCACCCTTCAAAGTCGACACCGGAATAATATCAATAATTCAACGAGTAAGTTACTTGACGACTTAAAGAATGTTGGTGGAATTATCATGTTTGTGAAGAACACGTTGCAGCTCTATCTCATTAAATCAACTACAGCAATGCAAAACATGCATATGCAATCCATGAATATGTTCATAACGACGGCGTTTGACATGGCGAGAGAAATTCAGATCACACCAAAGAGGATAGATTATGCACGGCAACAAGAGGAGGAACTGTACAAAAAATTACTGGAAATTGCCAGTCAGAAACAAGAAGAGATCAAACATTTGATATCGGAGACCATCGCAAACATGAAAGAAGACTTGCTATTGGAGGCAGAATGTTACCAGTTTGTAGGTATGTATGCATATAGTCATGATGTGCCTATATATGGTAATGATGTGATGTCATCATGACCATATTTAGGCATGTCACTTGTTTTTGTCAAATAAAATTTGATAATCTAAAAAAGGGCTTTGAAAAAGTCTATAAACTTCTTAAGTCTTTGATCACATGTACATCCTCCGATAATCAGAAGTGTTTCAACTGGGCAGGCCCTCTCAACAACTCACTGAAGCTTATCAAAGGCTGTACAGGTATGACACTATCGAAAACTGTGTAAAACAGTCATTATCCAGTCTGTTTAATATTGTTAATCGATTCTAAACATTCTGATTAGTAGCATGGTACTTAAGAAACAAATAATAACATTAAAATTTGTCAGCGACAATATTTCTCATTCTAATTTCAAACTACTGTAAGTAATTTTTTTTGGGGGGGTAGGAAGAGGGGGTGGGGAGGTGTACAGCAAATGTACAAAAGTTAGTATGGAAGTTTACTAATAAATAACTTAATAAGCATGAATTATATACAGTTTGATAAAACTATTTTAATTCATGATCAAGGGCAAATCCAGAATGAATAAACAATGCATGTTTGTAATCCTACACTACTCACACTGTATAGGCCTACTATGATCAGATCAAATGGTGCAAGCAAGCTTAACATTTCCGTCATGTTATTTATGTTATATTTGAATAAACATGCATTCCATCAACCAATCCAAGTACTATTTGTATCTTTCTTTAATATGATGCTTCAACATTTAACTTCCTTTTTCTATCTTTAATTTTAAAGGCTTCACTGTACATACAAGGACTAGTACTAGCTTATCCCATAATATGTCACCAAACCACTGCCCCATTTCTCGCAGGATTTAATGCAATTTCCTGTGCTTTACTAAAACTGACTCATACTCTGCATTTCTTTAATCTTGATAGTCACATTATTTTTAGAACAAAAACATATTTTTCTCTCGTCAGTTAACAAATACAAATTATAATACCATTATAGACCCTTATTTGGCTGGTTGGCTGGTAATCAAATCCTTGTTAAGAATTTTCTTAGTATAAGTCTGTAAATAAAGTGAAAATTGGATAGGTTTTTGTCTCTTACTTTTCCAGATTTACAGTCAGTTTCACTTTATTTTAAGGTTACAGCAGTCTGGGCTAGTCATCCTCTATACCGTTTTCATGTTTTGCATGGTCCATAAACCACATGTGACATTACAAAATTTTACATTTTTTTACATTTTAAACTGGTAATTCAGGCTATTTTTTTAGATTAATACAATTTAAACTTTCCTTTACAGCAAAATTCTACATTTTTTAACAAAAGGTAATTCAACTATTAGATTAATGTAATTAAAATTTGTCTTCGTCTTTCAAACTAGTTACTGTATGTAAATTTGCTGAAAAACGTTTCAACAATAATTTTTTTCAGATTTGTGTTTTTCTGTTTATATTTTGAATATTCCTTGTTATTACAAATTTACCTTTTTTTTTGCTGTACAAAAATTTCGAGTTAATTTTAAATCAAGATTTTTATTTTCAATTAGTTAAGTTTTTAGTTTTGTTACAGTAGTTAAGTTTATTTTAAATCACTTATACTTTTTTTGTTTATCTTTTGCCTTTACTGTATGTTTTGATGATGGAGCAAGGGCAGTTTACTGTTTGGGCTCATGCCTATTGCTTGCTCCTGATAAGATTGTACTTTTACTTTGTCGAATAAATATTATTATTATTATAACATCTTTGCGCTGAATCTAGAAAGATGGTAATTCATGACACTTACAGCTTACAAACACAGACTGATGACCTACCAGACACCACATGATTGTACTATGATATTGATAGTGTAATTGTTACTAAATGTGCTTAATTATTCTCATCAACATAAAGTTACAATTAATTCTTACTTTAAACCATAGATTTTAAGTATTTAAACAATAATTTTATAATTTTAAGCACCTGTTCTCATGCCAGTGAGGAAAAGGGCAAATGTTTTGTTTTACAAGCATATTATAGTAAATCTATTATTGTAGTTATCAATAAATTAAAGTTATTATAATATAAAATTAGAGATTATTATCATTGGCTACTAAAATAGTTCATCATTTTCTATAACATAATTGTGTTATAAATGTCGTCTTTAATTGCATGTTGTTGAAACTTTGATAACATCTTTTTGCAATATACTGTAATACACTACGCACTGTCCATATCAGATGCAACAATATCTACACTAGGAATGCTTTCTATTGTCATAGAAAGTCCTGTAGATGTGTGGGTAGTAGCATCTCAAGGTTAAATGCAAGATAAATTAACATTCAGTCTGAAAGCTTATTGAAATATACACTGAAAATTATTTTCCTACCAAAAAAAATAACACATGATTGTTCATGTTTTTTTCGTGGACCCAATACAGCTTCTGTACAATACGATAGGATAAATCTTTGTCACTTATCGTCTTCATTGTTAAATTGTCTATTGATCTAATAATTCGAATAAACCGGGTTAATAGTACTGTCGTACTTTGTATAATTTAAGTAAGGTAGTTTTTTTGGTTTAAAAAAAAAAAATATAACAAAAAAAATTTCGCTTGCCAAAAACAAACCCATTATTTTACCCCTCCTTTGAGACATGAATATTATTAAGGGGACAGTCCTATTAAATAAAACTTGCTTTATAATGCTATAAAAGCTTGGGATAAAACACCGGTTGATGTAAAAACATCACCTCTTTTTTAAAACAGCTCTTAGAAGTACATGTTCCGAGCAATGACCCAGTGTTTTTTGTTTTAAGTCAGATTTCTAACTAAAGTGATATTTAAAAATTTCAACTTTTTATTGTGTAAACATTTTCGAGAAAGTATACTTATTTTCAAGGTGCCGTAATTCTGAACTTTTTATAGCTTTTAACTCTTTTGATTTGTTTTACTGCTGGCATTAGAGTGATAAACAATGTTTTGACTTTTTATTGCTGCCATTTTTTCATCAGTTTTTATTCATTTTATGTTCTTTGAACTGTTTGTTTTTTTCTGTCGTGATAAATGTGCAATTTTATTTCTGTGTTTGCAAGGACCCAATTGAAATACTGTAGGTTTTACTTTTGTGAGCTTTTCCTTGTAAGTAATTACTGTGGTGTCATGATTTTGTGCAATTTTTTATATTGTGTGTTTTTTGTATTTTATGTTTATGTCATGTATTTTATGACTCTTGCGAATAAATTCATTCAATTAATCAATCTTGAGGACACTTTAGCTTGTGAGTCAATAATATACAGTAGATTACAGTTACGGCCAACTCATATTCAGGGGTCCCAAGTTGGAAATACTGTAATCCCTTCCAAGAGATCTGCAGTGTTCTCCCGTTTTAGCAGTCAATTTTACCAGTAAAATTTACTGACCAACTAGTAAAAAATTGTAAGTTTAGTAGAATAAAAGAAAATGAAATTATTAGTCTAGGTAGCCTAGGCTGGCCTTCTTTCAAAAATGAACATCATTCCACTGTTCTAGTCTAGGCCTAGGCTATGATTATATGTATTGTTATTTAATCTACCAGTAAAAAATTTTCAATTGAGAGAACATTGATGTAAATAATAAAAATCATGCAATTACAATTTGTGGGAGATGGATTATTTCCTGGGAAATTCTTTCATGCTTGCTTGTGGGAGTCTGTCCTGATTTCTGGGAGACTCACAGATTCCAGGTGACTTGAGACTCCTACTTATTCAAAGGACACCCTTATGAATTAGGACAATTTTAATGGTTCAGATGGTGCCCCTTAATTCTAACTGTGTACTTGAGCAATAAATTTCATTTCATTTACAGTACTACTTTTAAGTAAATTATTTATCTTTCAATAAATAAAACAATTGAGCTATAGAATGTATTTCAATGGCTTACAGTAATTGTAAAAGTTATTCGCTTTTAATAATAATAATAATAATAATAATAATAATAATAAGATTTATTAAGCGCACATCTCCACTAAAGTGCTCAAGGCGCTTGTGAAAACCATGAAAAAGCTTATCCTTTTAAACTAAAGGCTACCAGAAAACGACCATAACCCACATCACTGCTTCCGTTTACCAGCAATTTAAGGTGCAAAGACCGGCTAGTACATGACTCACAGGTGTTCTCAGTTTTGTGGGCATCTAACTAAACAAATTAAAAAACAAAACGAAGCATGGAGGAAATAATAATATTTCGTCCATGGTATCAAGTATGTGGCTGGATAGAATCTGTGACAAATATCCATAATTATTCGTGGTCTAGAGGCTGTCTCTTATACACATCTAGATGTGTATAAGAGACACCTATAATACACAGGCAGCCAGTGCAATTGTTGTAGAATTGGAGTAATGTGGTCAAATTTCCTCGTCTCAGTTATAATTCTGGCGGATCTGTTCTGCAGCAACTGGAGACGGTGTAAAGAACTCTTCGGCAAGCCAATAAAAAGGGCTTTTAATTTAAGAGAAGACAATAATTTCTTACCAATTAATAGACACAAAAATAATGTCAATGTTCATATTCTACTGTGCATTTACCTATGGAGCCAGGAGGAAATTAATATTGTACAAATGAATTTTCTAAGACATTGGATGGATATTTGATTTAAAAAAAAACAACTCAGGAACTGTTAATTAGATCTGTAGATTTTTTAATCTAAAAGTGGTGATTACTACAACCTGTATTAGTCTGGTTTCCTCCCAAAATCTCTATGCTGTGTTTGAAACTGAAGGCTTGATGAGGGTGGGCTACGTTAAATCTATTAATTTATAATTCTGTTTTGATAGTAATAATAACTTTATTTAGTATAGCGCAAACAGTATCCAATTAAAATAATCACAGGCGCTGTACAGAATTATAAAAATATTAATTTACAAAATATTAATACATTAAAATTAATATGTTAAAAGTTGAAATAGAAAATTGGAACATTAAAAAGTATCATAGTACAATTTAGCACATCAAAAATCTACATAACATACTAAAATTAGAAAATAGAATAAACATGACTTCAGTGAAGGATTCAGGACATGGTAAAAGGAGAATTTATCCCCCCCCCCCCCCCCCCCCCCTTCGGCAGTAGCTGAAATATACAAACCGAGTGTGAAATCATTTAATTAGAGATTAAAATGGCTGAATCTCCAAGAATTTCCGGGGGAATACCCAAAATCTTCCTCTTTCAACCACCTAGCTAACAAAATTTGGAAACGTCACTTGTTTTGCAAGAGTGGCAGTCTTAAAATGTAACTTTATCATGCTATGAAATGGCCGACTGCTGAAACTCAGGCATTTATGATATTGCATTTCAATTGTCCACAGGTATTAAGATCCCAAAGAAAGGTGAGGCTTGCCAGCAGAAGGATATCAAACGTTGTCAGCAGCAGATTCAGGAGCTTGTCGTGAATAAGGTCAATACAGCCGTCGTTGAGAAGCTCATAGGCTCTGTCGATTATCTACGGGAAAGCTTTGTCGGAACTCTGACAAGATGCCTGGAGAATCTGGAGCAAGCAGACAGTGAAAGAGAATCCTCAGCAAGCATGGCTCTAAGACAAGTTAGTCCAGTGCTTTTTTTTTTAATGCTTTTTTTAAACAATTTTTAAAGATACTTCGGCCATATACAATATTGTAACTGCAATAATTACAGTTTGCACTGAGTTGTTTTTGTAGTGGAATTATGTATAATAATGACACAAAAATGATATCTCCCAGGATTTGAACCCAGAACTATGGAATATAGAAAGTACTGTACATTCATTTTAGTTACCAGACTATAGCGCAACTGTGAATGATGATAATAATAAAAAAACAAAACAAAATAAAAACTCAGTAAGAAAGAGGGGATGTGAATATGCGAACTTAGTGGGAGTCTCTGGGAAGAGCCCCTGAGCACCTGGTACATTTAGGGTGCAAGGGTTGAATCTTCCTTAAAGCTCTAGCAATTTCATTAATTTGATCTGTACAGAATTTTAAAAATATATTTACAAAAAGTTAATATAATCGATGTGTAATATATTAAAAGTTAAAATAGAAAATTGGAACATTAAAAAGTATCACAGTACAATTCAGCACATCAAAAACCTACATAACATACTAAAATTAGAAAATAGAATAAACATGACTTCAGTGAAGGATTCAGGACATGGTAAAAGGAGAATTTATCTCCCCCCCCCCCCTTCGGCAGCATCCGAAATATACAAACCAAGTGTGAAATCATTTAGATAAGAGATTAAAATGGCTGAATCTCCAAGAATTTCAGGGGGAATACCCAAAAAATATAAGGGGTGTACACCCCTTACTCCTCCTTGTACTGTAAATCCGCAACTGGTTGATAATAATCATTATTCATATAAATAAGTTGGCCTATACAGGTATGGAATCTCTGCATTCCAATGATGACAGTGGGAACTTGTGGAAACATGTACAGTACAGTATATAGTGTAGGGCCTAGAAATGGCTAGACCAGTAAAATATTCAGACATCACCTGACATGATCGTTACCAAATGCAGTGTCGTATTGAATTTTATTAGCTGTCTATTGTCTTATCGATCATTTGGAAATACTATAATAATAACGATCAAATGTTCGAAATTTTGCATGGCAAAGTAATAATATATATTAATGCTTGCGGTATGCCACATAGATCTGAAATAATGATAAAGTAGTTGTTGAAAACTTCCTCTCGATTCTCTGAATAATATCTAGAGAGAAAAAAAAAACCACTCAATTATACTGAGCATAATGATAGTGATAATGATACTACTTTATAGTCAAAGTGATGATGCAATAATAATGATAATAACTTTTTGATATTATATCATGAATAAATTACAACTATACAGTATTAATAAGTGGTACATTACTGTATGACATTGACATATTTATTGTGTCATGAAGAATAATAATAAAAAAGTAAATGTTACTGTTAGTGATTATAATATATATTAAGAATAATATTCTGCAATGCATTTATGCAGTGTTTCTGTAGTACAGGAAGTCTCGAGTACTTGCTACTGTTAGTATGACCCCTCGTCATTGAAACGCTTGATATACAATGCACAACCGGAAATGTCATATTTAGATGCTAATTTAGGAGACATAATTATTACCTGCATTACTGCAGTGCAATTCTAACATTAGTCCAATGTGTTCTAAGTCAGTTGGGTGAATATATGCATGGACGGTGGGGAGGGGGAGGAAGAGGGAAAGAAATCGTGGGCTGCTTTATGCTGCTAACTAATGAGTAATTCAGGATCCAGAAAGCAGTAGCTGTGAATGGTTTCCATACACCATGTACTGTAGATAGTTCTTAAAAGAACTGTTATTGTTTAAGAATGTCAACGTTTCGATTGAGTTGCTTCAATCATCTTCAAGAGAATAATACAGAAATTCAACAACAGGGAAATACTTATATGTTTGGGTAGTGAGACTAGCTGCTAATTGGTGGAAAAATAAACAATAACTGAGACTATGTGTGAAACAGCTAATACAAAAGCCAGTATTCACGGTGTGTGCATGAGGGTGGGGGTGTGAATACTGTAATAAAAAAATGTAATGATAATAAATTGACAGAGGCCTCGATATTGTTGATAGTGTGTGTCTGGAATGACTTCATTTAAAACCATAGATAATGTCTAATGTCATGTTTTGTTCATCTTCAACCTTCTAAAATAGAATCCCTATTGAGGAGCCGGACACCTTTGGGACCTAAAAAAGTGTCCCCTTAATAGGGGTGTCCCCTGAATAAGGGTAGGCCGTAGTGTTAAAAGATAATACCATACTTTTTTTCGTTTTGTGGCCAAAGGAGGGTTCAGATACTATATTTGTTTTTTGAATGATACAGTATACAATAATAATAATAATAATAATAATAATAATAATAATAATAATAATAACAATAATAGAAACAAACCACACATCCAAATACTCCATATATACTGAATGACTTGAGCTAGTAGATCATTTGAAACCTTCAAAAATAATTAGTTTGCTCCTAGGCCTAGGTGAAGTTCAAGTTCATTTGTAATTACTCACAGAGGCCCAGAGGGGTGGTTCTTCCTTGAGACATAAAAATAAATGTGAGGCTATTTATAATGGTAATATAAAATAGGCTATGATATGTGATATAAATTATAATGTAAATATTGAACAATAAACTGTCTTTAAAAAAAAGACCCCAAAATACAGTTAATCAAACAAATTGTATGCTTATATAATAATTATGATTTATCATAATTATTTATAAGCCAAACCAGTCACTTGTCGCAAATCGTGTTTCAGAGATAATGACCAAAACATGCTGGAATGTCAAAATGTTTGAAATCTATTTTATTGCACTAAACTAACCTGTATATATCTATGCATCATGCTATGCTGTTATTTTCCCCATTTTCAATGTTAAAACAACAATTTTTAACAATTTGGTGATGGGTTCTGCCAGAGAAATGCCCAAAATCATAAACTTTGAAGGCTGATTTGTCAAATACAGTATTGTTCTTTAAACAGCTGTATGTTTAAACTCCTGATTCTTTTACCATTTTATAGCTCTCATTTTACTGTTTAACATTGTATAACCATTCTAATGTTGTATTGCTTTTACCTATCTGTATGTTAATAAGGTATTTATTTGTATAGTTCTTTCTATATTTTTGAGCATGAAGGTGAAATGTCATGGAGAATACTATAAAATGTGAAGGGCTGAATTTCTGAAAGTGTTTTCCATTTCTATTGTTCTATTTGGACTTTTCTATGATGTATAACCAGTATTTCTTCCTGCTCTATTTTGGATTATTTGTAATCATTGGACTCTAGGTTAACCTGCAGTTAACCCAAACAATATTGGAATACTGTATATTCAAAGTGTATGGAAGGAAAAGAGATGAAAAGGAGGCAGGGAGGTGCATTTCCTGATGTACCACTACCGTATATTCACCAGTAGGCCTATTTTTTTTCTATAATGGATGATTTTTTTTTTTGCCATTTTGTATTAACAACTACTGTATTGCTTTATTTACTCTATGCTAAGCAACAATCAAAAATTCAAACCTAATGGAAGTAATCATAGTTTATACCATAAATACTGTATATTTAATGCTGAACATTGACAGTAATGGCCTTTAACAATGCCTACATATTTTATATTTCCTCGCTGGCATTGCAGAATTACCAATGGTAGTTCTTGAGTATACCGCTTGCGCAGACTCTGTTGTGGTAGTACAATTTTTCTGTAAAATGGAATGTGTTAAGGTTGATTTCAGGATATTTCATTTGACAGGCATGCCAAGTATCAGGGAGTTGGTATTGGTTCTACGTTTTCACAGATGACCAATGACTGATATCAGCTTTTCCGATAATGGACTAAGTTTAGAGTAATTTTGACCTAGTTTCTGCGGTATAATCACAGTCTTTTAATCAGTTTATTTTTATGTTCTACACTCTCTTCCGGAACATTTTAAAATTTAATCCGATCTCTTGTTGAACACATTAATTTTCAGTAATAAATTTCAAATCTGTTTTACATGATGGTTACTGTATGCAAATCCCATTTATTATTGCTGTTACTATGATTTTTTACTTTTAGCCAGAAAATTTTTACTTGTCATTGATAACGTTCATATAGCACATTTATAAGATCTCTATGTGCGTTAGTACTGTAAATGTCTAGTAAAATAATCAGCAAAAACATAGAGCATTTGATCATTTTATGAAACACTTTTAAGGCCAAGAAAAAAAAAATGTTTGTGTTGGCCACGTTTTCGGAAAGTCAAAAAACTTGGTAGGTCGGTAGGAAAACTTCTTTAAAAAAAATTTTTTTTTTAACACCTAAAGATGTGTTTACGCCTAAAAAGTAGAAAATACACAAATAATACAACAATTTTGGATTCGCATCATGTACCATCAAGTGAAATAGGCTTTGCCTTGACCCCCCTAGCCTGACCAAAACAATTTCAGTCTTATATGCTCATAACCAAAATATTGTTTGTTGTATTAAAGAAAAAAATAAATAAAATGCCAACCCTGAATTTCATAAAATGTAGGTTGGTCGGGTGTGGCCAACACAATTTTTTTTTTGGCTTAATGATTGTTTCTACAAAGACAAATTTAATTTGATATATGACAAGCATACAGTATGAAACTTAAATAGTAATTGTTTAGAGTCTGAGTCAAATGAATACAGTAGTGACAGGGGTCAAAACACTTTTTGTTTATATAGTACTGATTGTTGTGGTTTCATAGCCTAATAATACCTCCTGCTTGTTTGGATTCTTTACTTTTTATATCCTTTGAAATACAGTTCTAAACAAAGGTTAAATGACCCTTACACACTTTTAATTATTGAATAACCTAGGTCTCTGATAATATTGGGCCAATCCATGAAATAACTTGGATAATTTATTATTACATCTCTTTCCTAGAAGGAACTATTATTATTATGGTCAACTTTCAGGGAAAAGAGGGAATTATAAAGACATAGGGATTTTAATAACATACTGTTCCATCAATTCCCCTGGCAAAAGCCCAGGCTATGATTTCCTACACTAATACTTTTGAAGG